AGTTTTTACACGAGCCGCTATGTCACTATCTATTGTGACGTTATTCCTGTGGTAAACAAACAAGCGTAAGTAACGCTCAGTATCGTTTTTTTTTTTATTATATAAAATAGTGAGTTCCCATCGTTATACGTGGTGTTTGGTACCAAACTGCAAAGGTACAAGTGTAAAGACACCACAAAAGTTGTTTATAAAACTGCCACATGATATTAAAATGAGAAAGACTTGGTTACAACTTGCAAGGAGAGACCCAAAATTATTATCGAGTAAACGTATACTGTATTTTTGTGAGGATCACTTTGATGTAAGTACTATTTTGTCTTATACTTTCAGAAGCTTTGATCTTTAAAACTAATGTAAACAAATGAGATCTTTCACATACGTTTGTAATTTTGAGGTTCTGTTGAAGATTGTCTAATAAATAATGTTCTAATTACCTACATTATACACACTTTTATAAACATATGCACCTAGTTAGGTTTAAAAACAGAAGTAAAGAAATATTAAATACTTACACAGATGTTTTAATATTCCTAAATTCAGCAGAACAGAAATTGGGATTAGTCGCAAACAATTTATCCACCACTATTGTGTCAATTCTTGGCAAATTCGTACTGCCCGCTTTTAAAAAACCGCCCTCCATGATTAGTTATTATAAACTTGAAAAAACAACACGAAATCCGTCCAAATATTTACAAAGCAGTCACGATAAGATAACTGTAAGTTTTGCTACAAGAGTGACGTCATATTTAAAACCATCATTGTGGATAATATTTTGTGACATGTCGTTTACAGACTAAGAAATTGCAATTTTAAAATTGAAATAATAAATCAACTTCGTGTTTTTGTGAATACAAACCGATAATTTCTGATTTTATATTCGATAAATTGTCATAATCACATAACTTAATAACTTGTTTTTCATAGTGTCAAGCACCTTATTATTAAATGTAGTATCATCTAAATTTAATTCCTTTTTCATTCTGACAATGACATTTCAGAAGATATTGTTACGTGTTTGCAATCTCCACAAAAACCTATACTCGTAGATTCTTCGATTGAAAGTCCTGGTGACACTAACTGACTACTTTATTAACTAATTAATAATTAGCAACAATAAATTAATGACTGTCTTAACTATAATCACAATGGAACACCTATAGGTCTCTATCTTATTTCTTCTTTCCTCGTTCACTTTCAGCTTAAGACTAAATCTCGGCCCACCGTGCGTCTTATTTATACATTGATTCACACGATCTAGAACACTTCAAAATATTTCCGGCCATTCTCGTACAATTCCAGTCTCATGTATTAAGTCTACACAGTACAGTGGTGTAACACTGCCCCCTCCTTAAACCTGAACGTCCCGGTCAGGCAATTCGTTGTTCCCTGCATACTTAGCTAGTCTCTGTATATGCACCAGCTTCATCATTGATTTTGGATTTTGCTGAATTCGGTATACGACGTCGTTTACTCTCGTGATAACAGTGTATGGTCCTTCCCAAGGCGAGTGAAGTTTCGGGGACCTGCCTTTCTTTTGTTTTGGGTCATACAGCCAAACCAGATTTCCCGCCTAATACCCTCCTGAATTAGCCGTAAGATCATAACTAGCCTTCATACGGTCACTTGCTATTACATTTCTCTCAAAACAAGCCCCGACGTTACATTGCTTCAACGGGCCCTTATTTCTTGTCTGTGGCCCCATTCTTGCCGCACAAATTTCACATTGGCGGTACTAAGCCTCCACATTTTGACGAATGTTTACCCAACAGAATCGTTCCCATATTTTTGTCAGGGTTTTGTTGATGCTAAAATGTTCGCCAGAAGTTCCATTATGCACCTGCTGAAGTACTTTTGCTAAGTGACACCTGGGGATTACCAATTCCAAAGTAATTTTCTTCCCATCTGTACTTTCCCACGCTCTCTTTAGCAGTCCATTCTCTAGTCTAAGGCAGTCCCATTGTGCCCATAAAGCCTTCAGCTTCACTGACTTTTCCTTAAACTTCAGTTATTTGTCCCTCAAACTTTCCTCTAAATTCACTGACTTCTCCTTTAACTTCCATGACTTCATCCCCTACATATTCCTTCAATTGTGCAGTAACCAAAAGCATGACTTGATGCTGTCCCTCCATAATTTGTCTTACTTCTTCCTGGCGTTCCCTTTTCTGCTCTCCTTTTTCTTCCTGACGTCTTCTCTCTTGTTCTTCTTTTTCTTCTTGTCGTTTTCTTTCTTGAGCTTCCATAATTTTTCCTTGTTCGTCTTTCCCTTCCTGTCGTATTCTCTCTTGTTCATCTTTTTCTTCTTTTTGTAGTCTTTCTTGATCGTTTATCGGTTCTAACAACGCTGCTAGCAAGTCCTACGTTTGTTTCTCCGCCATGCTTCTTGTTGACATTGACTCACGACACGTAAATCAGTTCGGAATAAATTGTATTACACTATATATAAGTTCATACAATGTATATATCACGTCTATTTTAGTAATGGAATGTTCCAGAATTTCCACGAAATGTCACTATTGTCTTGTTTTAAATCTATAAAACGTTCCCGTTGATGCAATTTACGTATCTCCTGCTGTTTCCAAATAGAACGTTCTGGAAATTTCCCGAAACTGCACGAATAAGTCTTATTTTGAGTCTATAACATGTTCCTGTTAACGGAATTCACGTATCTTCTGTTGTTTTCAAATCGAATGTTCTAAAATTTTCACGAAAAGTCACTTATAGTCTTGTTTCTAAGTCCACAATACGTTATCATTAGCGCACTTGCGTATCTGCAGTTATTTCTAAATCGAATGTTCTAGAAAATTCTCGAATCTACTTTAAAGTTACCATTCGATCTACAAATAGTCCTCAAACACTGTCCAGTAGCTTAATTTTTCATGTCACCATTAATTCTTGAGAGGAACACTGTAGAACCTTATCGAATTTTCCACAAATGTCCATAGTCACAGTTGTCATTGCGTGTTCTAGCCAATTAGTCAATCTTGGGACGATATTGTTTGAGGGAAATGTAAGTGCTGAGCGATCAGTTTTGATGTTTGAGTTTATTCCTGCATTAGCAGTGATGTTTCCGAATAATGATAATTTTGACATTTTTCACGAACGAAAACTTACGGAACTTTTCCCAGTTACTGAATCGGTCAAAATTTCTGTGGAATAGATAGTTCTAACCCCATTGGATTATTTCCTGTGGACTTCCTTAAAGAGGAGGGTGTACCATAATACACCTGAAAATAATAAAGATCTGATAGGCCAAATATAGAATGCATTCAGAAGCAATGTAAGTGGCAATTCAGCATTTTCGTAAGATGTTACATCAATGTTATTTTGTGCTAGAGAGTCACGACACATTGAAGTAGTTTCCATATACACCAAAATACCCAATAGCGTACTCGACTCGTTACATATTGGGCATTATCAGACTTATATCGAATGCTTTATGCACATCTACGAATGAAAATAGGGATGGAATGTTGTTTTTTTAATCATCTTGTCATAATCCCTATTATCTTCATTGTAAACATATGATTATCCATAATCATGCAATCCTCATGACTGCTGCTTGTAATATGGTGATTCTTTCCAAATATTGTCTAGATGATTTGTTCTTCTGTCGTTTTGTTTGCACTAAGATAATAACCATTACACAAGAAGTGTATTGATATTTGTTGTTTTTCTTTTCTGTAACCCTCCTTGGATTTATATGGGAGATGAGAGGTGGCACTTTCAGCGGCGTCCACAATCTCTGAGAGAATATCACTTTATTCACTATAATAATCCACAATTTCTTCTACGCGTCGTTTTTTAATTTTAGTTTTTATAGCACAAAAATTATTTTATTTGTTTCGTTACATGTTAACCATTAGGACAGTAGGCAGTAGTAGGCACACTACTTAATTTTGATTATTTAATTTAATTCAAAGCACAAGAATATACGACAGACGTCTAATTGACATCTGTTTCATTTTGAAATTTTTAAAATATTTATAGTACCGATTTTAATAAATATATTCACAACCGTTCACAACTTTCATACTCGTTTGCAATGAAGTCCTTTCCACACATGTATAGCTATGTACTATTATTTTCCTCATGGTGTCTTATTCTACAATGTCTGCATTCCCCTTAATTGCAATATAAATTTGAAGTTCGCAATTTGTAGTGGGTGTAACAAAATATTATTATTGGAATATGAAGTATGAAAATAATTCTACTGGCCGACACAATTTTTTGTAATATCGTTCACACTACTGTTTTTATATTGTTAATACCTCCCTATTAACTGAAAAAATATACAACAAATATTAGTACATTTTTGTGTGAACACAATAAACCCTCTTATATTCTCAAGTAATAAATTTTATGACGGGTCGGCCATTTTATAAGAGCAAGTTAAAGTAAGGTGGAATATTTTCAGTATCAGTCTTAGTTTGACCTTCCAAGTGCCCAATTGTGTCTGTTAAAAAGTGTTTTCGTTTCTCTACATAACTCTGTTATGACAAAAATATCCAGTCAAACGCGCCAAAGTTGCAGAACCTCCCCCTACAAGTTTTGTTACATTTGTGGAGAATTCCTTGAAAAGTCACAAGCGAGGCCATTGCCTGAAAATGTGAAGAAAGCGTATTTTCTATATTTTGGAGTATTAGTCGGAGATCAAGACAATCAATGGGCTCCCCACATTTGAGGTTTCAGTGTGTTGGCGAGAACTCACCAATCATTTCGATGATTGATACTTTTTTGTAATAAGAACTGAAGGATATTCCGAAAAAGAAAAACAAAAAAATCAAATATCCGAATTTGCCATCAACCCTAAAACCTCTTTCTCACAATGCTTCAGACTTACCAGTGCCAACTGCGCCTTTAGATTGGCAAAATATTGTTTTGGTAGGTAATGGAAATAGTAACGACTCTTCAGACATCCCAGACTAGTATGCCAACCCTTTGTATATTCCAGAAAGATTTAGTGACCCTCACTTAATTGCTCAAAATGAATTGAATGATTTTGCTTTGTGGTTGAGTGGTAAGGACACTTGCCTCTCATCTTAGAGTCCCGAGTTCGATCCCTGGCAGAGGAGCTAGGATTTTTCTAAACTAAAAATTAATCCTAGCATACTCGGACATTGGGTGTGTGTTAATTGCCTCTAAATGTGTAGCCCTCTCCCCACACAAGGTATATTGATATACCTTATATTATCTGTGGTGGTACGTGACTTGGCACTGTCAAAATAAGAAGCAGAACTTCTTGGTTTCCAACTTAAGGAGTGGAACTTACTGGCTAAAGAAACAAAAATTACGACTTTTAGAAAAAGAAATGCAACATTTTCCGCATCTTATAATATGAAAAATTCACTATGCACATGTATTGATATTGATGGTTTATTGCAGGAACTTAATATTGAACATTTCCCTTCTGAGTGGCGCTTATTTATATATTTCTCCAAATACAGTTTAAAATCTGTATTACCACAGAAGGGAAATTTAAAACCATCTATACCAATTGCTCATTCAGTAACAATGAAAGAGGATTACGACAGTATGAGCATCATTTTAAATAGCATGTGGAGATTTAAAAGTAATAGCCATTTTATTAGGGCTTCAAGGAGGCTTTACGAAATATTGCTGTTTTCTTTGTTTGTGGGACAGTCGTGCAGTAAAGGAACATTATGAAGAGAATTTGGCCGGAAAGGAAAGAGTTTGAACAAGGAACTAGTAGTGTTAAATATGTGCTACTTGTAGACCCTAAAAATGTTCTTTTACCACCTCTTCATAATAAACTTGGGCTAATGAAAGATTTTGTGGAGGCTATGAATAAAGAGGGTGGAGGATTTAAATACGTAAGAGAACTTTTTCCCCAATTAAGTGGACGCCAAACTTAAAGAAGGCATTTTTATTGGTCCTCAAATTAGAAAATTGCTTGACGATGCAGATTTTAAAGGAACACTCAACAGGGCTTGGAACTCAAAGAGAACCAAATACGAGGTTGCCGTATATCTTTAAAAATTCATTTTCTACATTCTCATTTAAATGCTTTCATGAAAATTTGGGTGCGGTAAGCGACTAGCAAGGGGAAAGATTTCATCAAGATATCAGGACAATGGAAATTCGTCTTTAAGGACGATGAGATTCAGCCATGATGGGTGATTATTGTTGGTTCTTAAAGCGGGACGATTTGACCCCCATAAAAAAATGAACTGAGCATATGTTTTTCAAAAACTGTTCTCTATCTTTGCAGATATACATAAGCATACCCTAATATGTCATATACATCAATGATTTGTAGCAATAAATAGATTAGTAAAATTAATAATAATATTATTCGTGCCCATAATGTTTCATTAATGTAACAAGAAAACGTGTTACAATTTTTTTGCTTGTCATTTCTGTAATCAGAAGGCTTCATTCCAGTGGGATATGCTATCCAGGTACATGTTACAAAGAAATATATTTTTTTCCGTCAGTGATTGAAAGAACGCTTAACTTTGGTGTTTTGTATGTACACATGTATACTTTCTTCAAAAAGTGTAAATACAATGTAATGCAACCGTATTGTATTAAACTTAAATTTAAATTATGATTATTGTATTTTTCAAACGGATCTTACGTCAGATCATCTGCTGGATACAGAGTTATATTTCATGGAATGTTAACAATTCTATATACAATTATTTGTCCTTACTATAAACTTATCTGAAATGTCAATTGAGGTCTTCACAAGCTTATAAACAAACTAATTTGTGCTATGAATCCTAATAAGCATCTATGAAGCCGATGTTGTAAAACTGTTTAGTTTACAAAGTCAGCAATAAATCCACCCCTGCTAATATCGAGCGGCTGTTTATTAATGAGTTGCGTGACAAGAAGCCGCATCATAGTCACCGTCAGCAGCTCAAGCTGTCCAGGACGTCGATTACATGTCTAACGACCCCTGAAGAGGTATGTTTCTAGAGGTTATTCAAACTAGGGATTGTTCATAATTTGCTGACATCACAACTACTACGTTCTATCGTACTACTTATTTAACTTAAATGTCTGGATTTCAAATGTTAATTAGGAATGAAGCAGGGACGTAACTAAAAAATCTTAAAGAAATACAGACTTAAATTCATTATTCAAATAACATTTTTTCATACGAATGGAATGGAATAGATGGTGTCTAGATAATCTGAAGCATTAGTATCTACATTTTTCATATACTCACTTCACTACTTTCTCTTTAGTTTGGCCACATACACACCTCCAATGGGAATTCATACACCGCTCATTCTGATGAGGTGTTTTCATTTTATTGAGTAATATACTGATTTGAATAAAAACCGCAACACTTATAGTTAGTTAAACAATTTTATGAAAGGACATGGCACCCGAACAAGAGGGATCCTGGGTTTCAGTGGATTTTTCTTACACTTTTTGTACAATATGTTATGACCCAGGATGACACTTTCCTACGCGGGAAATTTTTGTGAACCTACTACTAGAAAACAGGGCCGAAAATTCCATCTTTTGCAAAGTTTAAAAATATTATTTTTCTCTTTGGATATGAATGTCCTTTAAAAAAATCGATTAGTGTAAGGATTTTGAAGTATATATTTATTTAACGAAGTGTCCTATAATCAAAATATACGAGGTGCTATGATTGTTTATGATAAATACTAACTTTTAAAGTTCTAAGTAAGTATTTTAGATGCAAACTATTGATAAAAATATTGAAAAAATAAAAATAATGATGATAACAATAGTAATACAATTGTTAATAATACACATAATAATAATAATATTAATAATACAAATAAAGGGGTGCTAAGGACCGGCAACCTCCGCGCGGTGCACCCTGGACAGGCAGAGGCAACTCTGCCTGACAAATGCCGGCCGGGGGTACCAGGGCTAACCACCCTGGTACTCTTACAGATCGGGTTCCCTATAACCTAAGAAGGGCCCCTCACAATCGACCCCAAGCGGATGGGGGACAGAGACAGGTGGGAGGGGCCTTACTGGATGGTCTCAATGTTGACAACCAAGGTATTAAACACGGACGCTTTAAGTGGATTAGGGAACTTCGAGATGACTTGCTGACCTGCCGCGAGAGTAGCGAACGTGAGCGAAGGAGATACATGGCGCGAATGCATGCACTTTGGTGCGAAATGCATCCAGAGCATCGCGCTTTCTTTCAACAACATCTGATAGTCGGAGAGCTGGCGTCCAAAATGTGCAAGAGTTTTCTCAAAGCTAACTTTTTGAGATTAGGTTACTTTCTAGTGATGGAAAGTAACTGTAGAGTCAGCACTTCCGGTACCGGGACACCTGGCGCTGGGACGCTCGCAAAGGTGTAATATTAATTAACGTCTCTAAACTGTTTTCTCAAAACTCAAAATTTATAGAGAACGAGCAAATATAATATAAAACAAGAATCCAACAGTCAGACAGCAAAATGTAGGGACACGTGGCGTCAGCGCTACTTCATACCTGTCCAAAAAAAATGACGTGTGTCAAAGTGATTTCTCAAAGCTGAAATTCTCCAAAACATTAATTAAAACTATAAAGTTAATAAAGGAGACAGTCAGACTCATTTATGATAGGACCACGTCAGTCAGCAGTCGATAGATGTGAGAACGGTAACCGCGCGCATTAGTACGCCATTTCTCAATACATATTGTTTATTTTATAACGCAATGGAATGTGGGTTACCAGGGCCGGCCCGATGGGCAGGCGAGCCAGGCGGTCGCCTGGGGCGCTGAATCTTGGGGGCGCTGACTTGCCGCAAGTCGGTTGTAGTTTCTGAATAAATAAATTTAAATTTTAATCAAAAGCACGCACTCCAAATAAGTCCGCACCTGCCCGCCTATCGGTAAGCGTGCTGTATGATAACAAAAAATCAAAGTAATACCGGCCGGCGGAGTACAAAGTGTTGGCGTGGCTATGATGTTTACGTTTTATCGTTTTTATATAGAGCGCCGACTGCCGGTCTTCTTTGACCGAGTTCTGAATTTTCTGTATTTAATTTTATTATTTATTCTCTAACTAAAAAACAAAGAATAAGCTACTCTTTGCTAAAGAAGCGAATTGTTGAAATCAGTCTATTATATTAATATTATTACTATAACAGTATAGTACGGTACGCGTTTAAGTGCCCACTGCTTCAGTTAGCATATTAATATATGTATAATAGATATAACATATCGTGTCATCTTTTGTTGCAGCTTGCCAGCTTGTACTAGCTTTCTTCGGACTTTGTATATTAGTTATTAAAAACTAAATTTGCATTGTGTATTGTGTTTGTTGACGTTATAATATTGACATAATTCAAAAAATAATAATGTCCTCGAAATGGTCTGGGGCGCAAAATCGTAAAAGAAAAATGGTAGCTCTGAAAGAAGCTGAAAAAAAGTTCGGCATTTATGTCAAAGTTTGTAAAAATTTTGACGTCCTCGTCTTCGAATGAACCACAAATAAATTTTAGTGAAAGCGAAAGTGAAGTCAGTGAAGTGTTTGAAGAATTTAAGGGCGGTGAAGAATGTGTAATGATGCAGGTGCTTAAAGACGACAATGAGAACGTTGGTTGTGCTAAATATCCTAAAATTGAAGCTGAAATGGAAACTGAAACTACGAAAAATAATGATAAAATAACCAAAGGAAATGAAAATGATAATACACCGATGTTATGACTATTCAGATATAGGAAATTGGCCAAGATTTTTAACTGTTTCAGCTCGAGATGAAATAGTTATACAAATACAAAGGGCTGCGTATATATCGAACATTTGGAGTCATGCTGATGAAAAAATGCCCACTGCAATGATTCCAGAGGAAAACGGTTGGCAGTTGATCGATGGCCGATATGATTTCAGTTGGTACGAAGACGATCAGCTACCTAATTTCATTTCTGACGTTTTGATTCAATCGGATGATACACCTGCAGGTAATTTTTGCGAGTCGACTCGCAAATGTGATTCAAAACCTTACTTATTAATGTAATGTATCGCTTAACGCTGAATTTTTTATTTGTACACACATTCGGAATCAACCACCACTGATGACGCCGAATAATATGGTGCAATCGCGTTTTATTCTGATGAAGATA